CTGTCGAAGTACTTATATATAGATATGTATATAAATATATTTGTATTAATATTCTTTCTTACCGATTTATTTTTGTAATAATCATAAACATTTGCAACCTGTGATATGAAGTTATATCAAACTAAATAATATTCTTAAACTTGTTGATTATGATTAGAATAGGGTGAATGCATCATTCACATCGGAAAATAACTATATGAACATATTGGAATAAGAAATTAAACATTTCGCAAGCAAATCACTTGGAACACTTGGTTCTACCGGTTTTAATTATCATTCGTACGTTACCAGCTCTCAAAATGTGAACTAAATATTTTCTTCAAGAAGTTCGAGTAAATTTAACTTTTGTCCGTTAGGTATAAATATTTTCAATGGAGAACTAATCAATATCAGTCCAAATTACCATGCTCCATATGAAATTGTGCGTATAAAAACAATTGACATAATAACTACATAATCATATCACTGACAGCATCCACTATGTTAGATTGTTTTTCACGAGACTCAGTTGCAAGCTATGTGCATACTGAACAGTCCTTCCCAATTTGGAATTCAAGGCGGAAGTTATTCTAGAAGTGTGCTGCAGGTGAAATTTAAAAAAAATGTATGAACATAACTACGTCAGCAACAAATTCAAGCTACATTTCTACCCAAAATTGTCAAGCACAAGGTTTTATGTTTTGTATAACTCAGTTGAAAACGAAAACAGGAAGACACAAACAATTGTATTCCATTGAATCCAGTTTCAGTGTAGAACATTTAAATTTTATTCATGGAATGGTATTGTTCACATCTTGTATATATATTTGCCTTGTATGGCTGCTTTTAGACTGTAAATGATTTGCTGTTCACGAGTGTAATAAGAAGTTTCAAATTAAAATACAATTAAAATAAGCTACAACATTGACAAATATTTTGTTTCGTTTCATCTCTCTTGGTTGATGAGGCGACTAATCAGTAACCGAAAGGTTGCTTTTATACTCTTGCTATTTCAGAGAACCATGTTTCCAAAACTATGCTGAGGTCACTATACTGTCAAGACACCGGCAACATGCTTACCCATGCTCTAATAGTATGATTTAGAGGTTGACATTTAATAAAAAAACGGTTAGTCAGTGAAAATCTTTAACTATCTATGCTTTTTTACAAACTATACTCTTTTAAATGAAATTTCGATTTTAACCTACATAAATCCAGCTGCTTACTACAACTTGTCTACTATCCACTTGACACTCACCACAACTCTTCCTTCTTCATTGCTGTACTTCTTCATCTGTGAATTATATTCTAATATTCCTATAATCCATGGAGCCTCTAGGGAACATGCACCTCTAGATCACAGCTTGTATCTAGCACGTTGCAATAGACCCTTCCCAACGAATTCACTGTTGATCACAGCAAACCGATCAAGAAACCTACTGTGCACCTTCACTATTTGTACTGTCCTATTGAAAATATGGCTGTAGCAAACTGTTTCTGTCAGTGACATGTTGTGAATGTGCTATCAGCAACTTTTGCAGTAAATGTGAAAGCATTTGTGACAATTTGATCTAGCCTGTAAAAAACTGGCATGCCTCTCGTAACGTAGTTATTTGAGAATAATAATTACTATTATTGACAAATTGAAGCCATTCGAAGTGCAATTAAATGATCTTGAACTGTGGAAATGAGTCCCCCGCTATGTCAGTCTATGCATTCGTGTTATACAACAGAAATGGTATTTTGTGATGACTTGAACATGCCCGCTCCACATAGTTCCCCATATTTATGATTCGCTATTAACGAGTGTGTAGAGACGTTTTCGTTTGAAATACAATTAATATAAACCACAAAATCTAAAAATAATTACCTCAACCAAAAACGTAGCGTAACCAAGTGTGCTTGAATGATGCACATGCCTACTGACAACTGTTCAACTATGTGTGAGTACCTGCAATTATTAGCGTGTCTTATTCAGTAAACAGCGGTCTGATCTCCTGTCAGGCTACTCTCGGTCCAAAGCATGGACCAAGTAAAAGGGTTGACAGTGTGATTAGCTACCATTAGCCGTAAAAACTAATTCGCTAATGAAAGGCATACCAGAAATAATAGTTGATGACAATAAAACTCGGCCATGGGAGTTATCATATCTTCATCTAGAAGAACTACGACGTCTGACGATGTAACCTGTATTAATTTGGAAGTCACCTGGTCGATGACACTACCGAACGAATCGCTTCCACACGATATGGGCTTCCAGGAGGCGATATCTGCCCTCATACCCGTAACAGCACACCCGACTAAGTGATTCACAAAGAATTCCTTCCCACAGCTACAAATATCTATCTCATCTACACAACTTACGCTTCTCACATTCCTTTGTCACCCCGCGCCGCTGAAATTTTGTCAAATAATAAATAAAGCTTCTTCAGTTAGGAATTCAGAATCTCACGCTATCAATATGGTGAGTCTCTGACATGCGCATACAGGATCTGAGTACAGTGATTTATTTGACTACACGTTCTTCAAATAAATAACCAGCACCATTCTTACTTTTCCTATGTGTAAAAGTTTTAACGCTGCTCTCTGTGACCACCCCGTTGTAGATAAAGCAATGAGTCATACGACAGAAAAACCTATCTTTGACTGAAAACCAATAGGTGACCGATCAAGATGACGGTACGAATTCGGAAAGATATCGACACTCACCAGTGCTTTTTCATCGCATATGCCTACGCTTCCACTGGCCACAGTTTAGACAATGTAAGAGATTAGTTCTACGGAAGGCTTTGGGACCTCCTACAAACGTTGTGCGCTGTGATATATTAGTAGTCACTGATGAATTCAATGCCCAAGTAGGTTGACTAAGTGAACGGAAAAGAGATCTGTGTATATATTATTGTGTCGTGGCTCGAAAATCAGATGAAAGCGACCAACTGCTGCAACTGTGCTCAGATATTAGCTTACTTTGAGCATAAGTAAAAACATCTATTGACCTGGTGTTCACCAGAGCCGACACAATGGTGAACCAGTTCAGACAACAATGATTTCAGGCATCAGTGAAAAGGCCACATGGAAGACTGCTGCCCATTCTGCAGCACTTGTTTAGATTCAGATTACTCTCTATTTCGAGCGCGTATTTGTTTGTGGCTTACTGGGCGTAGTAAAGACGCTGCAATGAAACCCCTCAGGGTTCTAATTATTATTAGCGTAGTTAAGATTATATTTCACGATCAACAATTAGGCGGCCACGTAAGTGATGCTCGCAATGAAACAACGTGCAACTATGAAACGGCAATGACACCTGAAAGTAAGTTTAACCATACTGTGAGGGAGGAACCATGGATCTCAGTACCAATCTCAGTGCCGAACTGATAATTACTATGAGACTCATCCCATCTGGATATGAACATGCCAATTAGCAGAGTCATTTAAGCGCACGCTGATAAAAATCCTACGCAATGATGGCGAACAGTGCTGGGTAGAGCACACTTTCGCTTCAGTCAACCTAGATGGTATATCGGCGTAAGTCCTCTGACCATATGTGAAGCTGAGAAAGATTGAGGAAATCTACAGTGGGGCAAATAATTGGGTCTTTGTAGGCCAACTCCTAAAAATTATGAAGCGCAGTAGTCGAGTTTGTACAAACGATTTGTAGACTCTCTGTCAGGTTCTGCAAAATCAACACACATGTCGGCATATCTTTAATTTTATTCGTCGACCTTAAGGCAGCATTCAACACTGTCACATTTGCGGTTCCGTGGCAGTGTCTCTCATCAAGATTCAGATCAGAGAATAACCTTACGCGTTTACGAGCTACAAAACAATGATGTTTATACAGTGTAAACACAGAATTCAAACAATATATCCATGTGCTTTAGGAGTGACTAAACGCGCTGTATACGGATAATGAATTTCAACTACTGAACTACAATAAATCTCATCAACAGTTTACGCTTTCTATTTCGATTAATCTATGGGAAATGGTCTACGTTATTACACAATAATAGTCACTCTCACAAAAAAGTATATTAGTATTCTTCCTTTAGACGTAGTCATGAAATGTGTGATTAGTTAATCGAAGTAGTCGTTATATGGACATTAATTGTGAGTCCAGTGCCTTGTATGTGTAGAGACATAACAATAATGACAATTCGATGGGAAGAAATTTACTTCCAAGCATTATTTGCAGGACGACTTAAGTATATAACACATCTGAACTTATCACAGTTTGATTTAAGCAATGGTAACGTATTACATGAGACCACGTAAGCTCATATCTTACAGATACGCAAGCTACACTTTCGAAAATAATAATCCATTCACAATGACAATGAGAACGCGCACACTTATGCCTAATTATTGACAGACATACTACTTCTACACTATATGATTAGAAGTGGGTTAAACGCATCGTTTGTGTTTCTGATTTTACCGATATGGTGAGTTGTTAATGTGAGCGGTTCACCGTCCAAATGGGAAAACAATTGATGAAATGCAATCACTGATGTCATGTTGAATATGTCTTTTGAACACACATATACCTGAAACATAGCGAACAGATTTGTGCACCAAATTTTGCTTTTATTATCATTACTTGTTATCACAATTTTATCGAGAGTTGATTGTTATAAAGTCGATAGTCAGCAATACCAACGTTCACAGATAAATTCCATCGAACCGTTAACTGTGAAAAGAAGAAAAACAATGATTGCACAATAAAGGCCTATTGAAATACTAATTGTTTGTGACCAACTAGTTGTCTTATCAAAATATATGATCCGAGTGACCAACAGTCAGTGAACATGGACCAACAACTCATGTAAACATATCTGCACGACAAATGAGAATAAATGTGTTGACATGAATTAGGCGTGTTCATTTACCCTGCTTATTCCAATATGTGTCTGGCGCGGGAAACTCTGATGTTCTCAGGATCATTCACTTATCACTAATCGCTTAAACATCAAGTCATTGTGTGATGCATTAGCATCATGAGCACAACACAATAACTACGGTTTGTTACTTGTCAACCTCATTCCGTTAGATAACGTTGTTAATACTACTTACGTGGATTTTATTTCATTTTCAAGTTGTTTTTTAATATCGTTCAGTAAACGATTCAGAACTGGAAATAAAAAAGAGAAAAGCAAATTAACACACACCTTAAAGAGATGACAAATTCCAGCAAATATATAATCCTTATAATGATATATAGTCAGCTGAATGAAAACTATCAAAATGAGACTGGATATAAAAATTTCTACAGTCGGATTTACAAGTAAAAGTGTCACTATAATACGTGGCTCATATCTTGTTACAATAAACAAGAATGTTTGATCTTGAACATTTTCTCTTCAATCTCACTTACATAGACAGTAATTATAGTCTGCGATTCGTCGATACAGTTGATACATGTCTAGATTCAGTTTAGTCAAATCTAAGTGATAAAATGAAAGCAAGTTTTAATTTCATTTATATGTCACAAATCGCCTTCAATATTCTACGGAAAATTGTCAAAATGATTCATGCACAATTACCTTGTTTACTTTCTCTTCCTAACTGATCACAACTTCCTTCAGGATATTCAGATTTCTTTACTGTTCCAATTTCAAAATATAAAAAAATAGTTAAGAATGTGAGTATTCTGATTATTGATTTAAAACGTATTTTGCTTCCATTCTTCATCACTTCTACAACAACATCAACGTTACTAGATTTCTTTCCGATTACTCAGATTCTATGCCTGGTTTTTTAGTGACGAACATGCAATCGAGGTTTATGTGTACGTTTTACGATTATCTATGACTTTGGCGATAATTGTTATTTATACCAAATCAAATTGGTAAGACAAGAAGGCGATTTATCAGTACTTATTTCAAAAATGTATCTTACGTTTATAGTCCTGTTTGGTTGGTTCAATGCAGTCTTGATTCCATCCTTCCAAGTTCCTGAGGCTTTCTTTAATGTGCAGCAAATAAAATTGAATGAAACAAAAATTCGATGAGAATTACTTAATGAAGCTAATGTATACTTTTATTCCGTTAAGTGAATATGATATATATACGTGAAATCGTATAAGATATAGTCATAAAACTAATCAATGCTTTTGACTAAGTATACTACTTGCACGACCTGAGTAAAATATCTGTATCGCATCCTATATTTTCGAGGGAAATATTTTGTGCAGCACTTACTGCCGTATTTTTTTAAATACTTCTCCAACTGTTTGTCTAGTTCTAAGAACGTTATCAAAGAAATAGATGACAATGAAAGTTAATGAACGGAATTTAAATGTTTACATTCAAAGTAAATTTCATGTACTAATTTTCAATGACTTCGAAATAATTGGTAATTATTACTCCGATGGTACTTGAAATTCCATATAGCGCATCGTTTGCGCAGTTTTTCTTTCTAGCTGTTTTCTAAAGAATGAATTGTGAATATGTGATTGTGTTCATCACATATCTATGATGAACATATCAAGTTATATGTTCTTCGAAGTGGAATGGTGATGACTGTTATAATGTAGGTTAACCAGTACAAGATACGAAACTCTTATCTCGTAAATTTGATTTTTATTCTCCGTATACGAAACTTGCACTTTAAACTATCAGCTTTCGTATGAAAACTTTTCCTTATGTGATAAATCTAAATGTTATGCGTTTTTTAACAATTACGAGTTCGGAAGAAGTTAGCTAATTTACGTCTGAAAGTGAGACAATAAAAGTTTTCATTAACTATGAGTGTGTATAGAGAGACAAAGTCAACTCTGTGGAATAATAAAATAACGTATGTAAATGAAATCTTGATTGGCCCTTATTCCAACTGACCTGATAAAAGTACCGAGGTAAATTTACTGTCGTCATGTTCTTGTTTGCATTTCAAGTCTACAAGCTCAATGTTATCAGAATGCAACACATACATTTCATGAATTTTTCGTCCTGACGCATTCCATCTTTAGGGAACAGAAACAAGAGTGATAATCAACGTGTTGATATCATTCGAACAGATCACTGAGTCATAGTATCCACCGAATAAGCAAACTTGTCAAAGTGAATCGTCTCTTTCGTTTTCTTTTAAAAGTCAGTTATTATTTTTTGTACTAACCGATAGTCAGACCATTAATATCCCTACGTCTGTAATCTTTTAAAAATGATCATTTAGAAATCTCCCAGAAATTTATATACCGATAATTTAGAATTGTCATGTGTTCGTTTCGAACACTGGTCTTAATCGGGCAACTCAGATTTAGTTTTCGCCGCCTGAAAATGTTTGTTCGACTCCCTTCGCTTCCTCATCGAGAGGGTCCGTTCGAACTCAATGCAAATAAGTGTGTTGCTCATATTTACTTGATTTGTCAAATCGAAAGTGACTGATGTATCAGTCGTTGTCTAATGACGGCTTGTTTACATGGACATGTATTTGTAAGCGAATTCAGGTTACATTTATATGATTGACATTATTTTACTGAAATGGTCTTGTTTGGTTCCATGTACATCTTGATCAACACGGAGTCAGTCTCAATGCTCCCATTTTACTTCAGCTCCAATCGATTGCTGTACTTTGACAACACAAAACATAACAAATCTTCAAGTAAAATAGCATTACCCAAGAACATTTAAATGTATTATTAGACTAGACTTTCATTTATCTTGTATTCAAATAATGTTACTGAAAAATATAGTTACCTAGTGTTTTATTGTAAATCTCTGAAGCATTTGTGAGTATATCCATGCGTTCCATCAAGAGTTCTATTGTTGAATCGGAAAAAAATGTTTGAATAACAATGAACTACTTTTTTGAAAAAAAAACAATTGGTGATCATAAAAGCCAGTTTCAAATACTCCCTTTTAATTTCACCACCAAAGGCATGAATAGCACATAGATTGGTCTTAACATTCAAATCAATCGTTTTAATATTCTATGAAAACTACTAATCAAATAACCTCATTGTTCCTTGTACATAACATTACAAATACTCTGAATTTGCATTGAAAATATCTAAAGAAACAATCACTTCGAATGTGTCTATATTGTACGAGATATGAAATCAAAAAATGGTTATGTACTAATGCTTACTTTTATTGTCTTCTATGTCTTTATTCAAATCCGCCATCAACTTGTCTGAAGTTAATTTAAACACAGTGTTAATATGTATATTACCGATATATATATATATATATATATATATATATATTACTGATAGTTAAACAATAGTGATATGTGCATAACTTTGAACAGTATCAATCAAGTGGCAAATGTTTTGAAATATAATGATTCACTAAAATGTTTGAAAATCATGCATCAATATAGATATATACTGATAGACTGTAATTCGCTGAATCAATTAATTCATTATGAGTAATAAAACTTGAGTCATTGAATTAAAAAAACAACATGGCCGATTGATGTTAACTTCACTATCAAAAATATTCATTCGTAACTTACTCTTTTGCATGGATGCTTGGATAAGTAAGAATAACACACTGATGAATGGCAGAAAAGCGTTACACATTTTTACTGAAACAATTTACACTATGTAACTCTGTTTTTATACCATTAGTAAGCGTTGACTATTGGTTAATGTAGATTGCAACAAACATGGCTCATTTAACGTAAGTATGTGATTAAAATGAGGGTAAATATTCTCATACATGATTTTCATTTGTTATATGGAAGAAGTGCGACTTATGCGACTAATCAGTCAACCGGTTACATTAATGATAATATATACATAACCAAATTGTGCGAGTAATAAATCAATGAAGGAAATCAGAAATTCATTCAGTCCATCTAATGATTTCAAGTATTTTCTAGTTCATTATTCATACGTTTTTATTCAACTCGTTATGACCTAAGCGATACTGCTACTGTAAATTTACGTTCTACATATTAGATCAATTGTGTTATAAATGTTGAGACTTAACAGTAGTGAGAATTGATATGACGGATAAAAATACACAGTTTAATAAAATATTAAAGAAAGAAAACTGAACTTGAAAAATTATTGATCAAGGTCTTGTAAAAAGGTTAACGAGAAATAAGGAACAACCAGACAATTAAATAGTACCAAGAGAAGGAAAAATGACAAGTCAAAAAAAGTAGGATGTAATTGAAAGAAAAACATAAAAGGAAGTCAATAACGAGCAAGATACGACGGATTAAAAGAACGAATAGCCTAAGTAAAAAAGAGAAACGATAACGTTAAAAAGGTACGTCGTATAATAGCAGAATAGGTTTTGCAGAAGAAGGTAAACATAACAAATAGAAAGAGTAAAATAAAAGTTTAAAAAGGAACAAAAAGTTCAAAAACTAGAACAGAGATTTATTAAGCCAGTATTTCTAAACCTTAATTCCAAGATCAGAAAGAAGCATCGTTACTGGTGCTGGTTGTCCGAATGATACAGAAGCAACGATTAGACTTTATCATTTCGCGTTGTTTGTTGTGAAGACCAGATATCCATCTGCTGATGAAATGAAAAATTCACCTCTGAGCAATCGTCTCTGATCTAATTTGAGTGTGTGGAGCATAGCTCGAATGAACGCCTGGTATTCACAGATTGATAGTGAATGATCACAGCGGGTTTCAAGGCGTCGCTCGTGTACTCAGGCTTCATCGAATAAGGAGTATCTGTGTAAGATAGATGCTACCAGGTAGACACTGAACATCGATTGATGCACCACTGAATATGCATCGACTGAGGTGGTTAGGGCATGCGTTTTGTGTGTACAACCGACGAGAACTGTGGAAGAAGGCTAGTGGTGGCCAAATTGAAACATGCAACTAGTCCATGAAGTCATTGAAAACTGGATCGAGCTGTGTCAACGGATGTTGAATATAATGTTTCGGTTCAGGTGATATTCGTGACCGATTGTTAGAGATTTGGAATCACATGACTGGAAATGGTTTCCAATGCTCCATGTACATCGGATCTCCGCGAACTTCCACGCTACTGATTTGCTTTCGTTTCTATTGGCATTCAACATACCAGTAAAATTTTTCCAGAGTTATTTTGAATACAGCTGAAAGTTCTACCAGCCCCACCACTCTGGGATTCCACTTGACAATTATCTCTATCTGTATCAATGTAGTACGTCATCTTAACATGATGTACAATCACCCTATTCTACGTGACAAAAGACTGACTGACTGACTGTCTGTCGGTTATTAGAATGTCCATTGCTCAACGTGTGTGAGAAACTGATGCGTGAGACAGTTTGGCTTCACTGTCCGTACTGCTCTTATTTCAGTGGTTGGCCAGCGAAACGATCAACAATTATCTTTGTGACAGGTAATCTACCATGAAAACGATTTCTACCAAACAGCTTCTATCACTCAGCTTTCTCAGTCACGATGTCTCTCTACATTATGCACATTGTTGATTAATGTAGACCGAATGTTTTCACACTGTATAAACACGGTCGATAAATCAGTGGTTCTAAGCAGAAAATAATAGCAAACCATTTGTGAACAATGTACCACTCCCACTTTTCCAACTCTATTGACCAAGTCGGCGATGAAGATTTCACAATGATTTGGTCAACTTAGTCCGACAATAAAATAATAGATAAGGACATAATATGGTAAATTAGAAATTAGGTGAGAAAATCTAAGGACACTAATAGTACTTCTAGGCACGTAGATTATAACTAGTCTGGATAGTCTCATAGCGTGTGATAATGAACACACACTTCTTGTGAATTAAATCACATTGCATATGGTGTGATGGTACATAGCTAGTTATTTAATTGTATTGCAGACTGTGCGCTTTGCCGAGTTTTCAATATCAACCCACATAAGTAGAATGGAATCTTTGGTAAACGTCACAACGTGTATGTGGTTCATTGCAAAGTGAAATCGTCTGACCCTATGCAGTCTTCATTATTAGTAGCAACAGAAGCATTAGAGTTGTATGTGACAGTGAAACTCGTTATCAAATTCATTTCAATGCAGTGAGGATAGTGCCTGTGACTTCAGACAATCTCGGATTGTCGAGACGTTCAGAGCACTGTGAATTCAGTGACACACAGCCTAAATATGGATGAAGAAACTGATAATGTCACTGACACTTCCACTTAAGCAGTTCGTCAGTCCACCTTAGTGAATCGAATGTTTCAAACGTACTGTCATCATTGGAGCATACGAAAGTCAAAGCAAGTGGAAGGGCGTATCGACCCATGTGATGATAGACAAGTGCCTGACAATACGAGGACATGTATGCAATGTGCTGTTCGACTCGTTTCGAACTGCTGTCAACATTCACGTTGAAGTGTAAAACCGCAGTACGGATTAATTGTTATTTCGGTCACTAGGTATGCTTGAGGCTATTACGAGTTTGCCCTAATCGATAAACGCGTACGAGACTTTTATTAGCGTCCAGTTAATCTACCTCGATACCCAAGCTTAAGTAAAACGGCTTTGTAAAAGTATATTCTGCAAACACACAGCAATCACAGTACAATCAAGCATACAACCCTCGTTTATTTATACATCATAGAAACGTCCTTGGGATAGTTACGAAAATAGCACAATAAATACACAAAAGCCCATCACAGCCATGTATTTTACGGTTGTGAAATGAAATCTCAAAATCATCTGGTCAGCCCATGCTGACAAACGGGAAACTCGAGATAAGGCATTTATCAAGCGAGTTTCGTCGATCGAACATCCCCAGCACTCATCTCCCTTTCAATAGCGTATGCTTCTGGGGTCGACTTGCATCTTGACTGTCGTTCGCCGGTGTCTGAGAGGATACTTCGGGAACGAATAACAGGTTGCTGCTGAGATTCTTCCTTGGCGAGGCTTCAGGTAGGTAATTTTATCAAGCAGGATGTCAAGGGGAAGTTTTTTTGCTCTTGATGGGTGATCTGGGGCTAGCTCTTAGTTTATCTGATTTCGATGACGTCACCATTTATTACTTCCTACCTCTACTTCGTACATAACTCGCCCAACTCTTCTGATCACTTGCGCTTCTGCCCAAGGAATATGGTTCGTTCTGTAGTCACAGGCAAACACAGGGCATCCCACTTCGTAAGCGGATTGTCTTTGCGGCTTTGTTTCTACTGATGTGAGTGCATTGGTCGGATGCATCAGGCAATGGATCGTTTTCAATCTTCTTCCTATCAGGATTTCAGCTGCGGACCTTTGCTCCGGTAACAATTCATTTGGTGTTGTTCGACAGACGTACAAGAGATTTCGTAATGCAACGACTGGTGTCCCCTCCCGTTTTGACTTATCAAAATCATTTGGTGAGGACATTGGGTGTTATTTTTGCGAGAAATGATGAATCTGTGTTTGTGTTTAATCAACGCACAATACGCTCTTTTTATCACTTTTAACTCAAGTGAATAGTGTTTTCATTCAGGACCTAGTCTATTAAATGAAATTCATATTAACGTAGTCTGACTGTTTACAAATCTTTGTCATTCTCTTTACAATTACAAACCATTACATTTATCTCATTTTTATTTTCATGACATTTTGTTCATGCTAGTTCTGTCAGGTCTGCCGTCGCTGTCTGAATGTTGAAATTATCAAACGCTTCCCATCTTCAAGTCTGCTGACGGTTTTATTATATGTACTACTAGTCATTAACTCCCCATTCTTGTATTTACCTTTCTCAAAAGCCGTGAGAAATTTTTCAATTCTAACTTCCAAGTTGCTCGATTTAAAACAATTCTTCCTGAGGCTGAATCATTTAGAGATGCTTTAAGGTGATGACCGTTTTGATGACACGCTTGATCACATGCCAACTACAAAGGAGAAGTGAACTGATTTTCACGTAAACGTCAATCTAAGCTATTCCGGTGCTCAGACCGTAAATTTTGAGCTCTCAATAAAAATAGTTAATTCTGTTTGTATACTCCTGATCATCACAAGATTATTAGGTAAGATTACCAGAACTCATGATCCCTTGAATATCCTAATGCTGTCCTAACAATCTGTGGTTTAATTAACATAAATTCATAAGTTAATGTGACTCAGTTTGATTGTGAACTTGTTGACTTCGCCATTGACTACTACCGGACATGATGGTATCAATGCCTGCAAAATGTTTGTGTAGTTCCGATATCCTCATATTGTCTGAAATGGGTATCAACAATTAATCTTAATTACATATCGAGTAATATTGTGACCAGATACAAATTTAACAATGTACCACTCCCACTTTTACAACTCTATTGACCAAGTCGACGATGAAGATTTCACAATGATTTGGTCAACTTAGTCCGACAATAAAATAATAGATAAGGACATAATATGGTAAATTAGAAATTAGGTGAGAAAATCTAAGGACACTAATAGTACTTCTAGGCACGTAGATTATAACTAGTCTGGATAGTCTCATAGCGTGTGATAATGAACACACACTTCTTGTGAATTAAATCACATTGCATATGGTGTGATGGTACATAGCTAGTTATTTAATTGTATTGCAGACTGTGCGCTTTGCCGAGTTTTCAATATCAACCCACATAAGTAGAATGGAATCTTTGGTAAACGTCACAACGTGT